CCGCTGTCGTGGGTCTCAGTCCTCGCTGATCTTCGAAGGTACCGATTGGAAGGGTAGAAGAAGACGAAGAAAAGGATATTCGGCAGGTGTGACGAATCTCACTTCGTACCCGCTTGGGAATTTAAACACTCGCTGGCGGTGTACAGGTGCGCAACGGGTGCTCTGGCCAGTCAACGTGACCGTTGACGTAGGACATTATTGAAACGTGGGAATTCGTTTCTGGAAAATCACGATTTCGAACGCGGGAGACGAGGGGATTGACCTCATCGGGAACTCGATCTTCCGCAGTCGGGGCTTGATTCTATCTGACATTTGGATACGTCAATTTACCTAATTAGATACCTCCGATCCCGAGTCTTGATAGATGATCCGAAATGAAGCTCCCGAGGATGTTCATATGTCGAGCATGAACGATGCGCTATGCGCTCTTTCTTGCCGCCATTGCGGTGTCTCGCGGAGAGCCGAGTTCTTACCGAGCTTTTTCGATTTTCTCTCTTCCTGACAGCTTCTCCGTCACGGACATCGCCGAGATTGTACTGAAGAAGTCATGGGAGACCATGAGCTTCGCTTACGAGCTTACTTTTGCAAAAAATCTATCGATGCTCCGTCAGAGCTCAAGAGAGCGCACGAAACTCGTGTGAAATGGCCCAACACAAGATTTTTCGCTCGTATTCTTCGCATGATTCGCAACGCCTTCTCTGGTGCAGAAGATTATTCCAGCAGAAGAAATATCATGCCGCCATTCAATCATGCTTCCAGCAATAGCCTCCGCTCGGAAAAATACGCGATGGCAGCTTGCGTCTCCGTCAGTGATCAGGATGAGACACTGCTTATTGTCAGGAGAGCTGCAGACTGACGTCCGTCCCTTTCGATAGATCAAAGCTCAGTGTCGAAGTCAATGCCGTGGACGCACTCCCGAACTTCTCCATATCTATTAATATTCTAGTCCTGGGGGGGGAATTGCCGCTAGAGCATTGAGTTTATTTGGAGGGAATGTTACGAGTAGCCCGAGAGCAATGATTTCGGGGAGACAATCGGAGAAATTCTCTGCTTCCTGTCATGATCTCAAGCATCAGCTGGTGAGCCATATTTCGCTTATATCTCAGCGCAACTCACCTCTGCAGAAGAAGATTCCAACTTGAGTTCTGTTTCGCGCGTTCTCGGTCAACGTCACAATATCGGAGTATCCTTTCAGCACTTTAGATGAGACCGGAGCCGATTTAAAACTCAATTGCACACGTCAGAGTCTCAGTTCCTCGTTGCGTTCCGGGCGACCCTCATTCGTAGATCACAGTCTACCGTATGAGGAAGCTCCCGTCTGTAGTGCGCGAGGCCACCACACAGTCAGTTACTCGGACAGGTACTACTGCGGACAAGAAAGGCGGCCTGGCCTGCTGTTGAACACAGTCGAGACGGCCGTTGAGATGTGACGGCGCGGGGCTGAAGTGGAGAGAGAAGGCCTGACTTGGGGCGGCTAACACCACTAACACCGTAACGATTCCGCTAACATGCCGAGTACTACGCTCGTTGTCAACGGTCTTCGGTCTAGACTGGAAAATATCGATAAGCTCAAGTCGGGTCGAAAACTGTCATGTTCTTTAGCTCACATGGTGAATGAATGGGGTGCTGAATCGTGCTGGAGAGGGAATATACCGGGGGGATACCTCGGTATTCTTTCCTTTAGAGATTCACATGGGCTCTGTATGACCTTTCTAGGAGAAGCCTCCCGTTTGCTCCCGGGGCCAGCGAAGCTTATTCTTGACGTCCTTGTTCATTAGCTTTTCTCTTCCCTTGAATCGTCGAAGATCCTCATACTCGACCGATTTCAACCCACCGCCGTGACTGTCCACGGCCGGCACTGTGAAGGCCCACCGCTGCCTGCACCTGACGAAAGGCGAAGTGAGGACTCCGGAGAACAAGGAACCGTTGACCTTTCTCCGCAAGTCGATTGCGAAAGCCGTGAGTTCTCGACCGACAAAGACCCATCAGCCACCAATCGCATACTGGGGAGCCTTCTCCCGAGCTGTTTATTCATCGAATCGTCGCTATTTAGATCGTGTAGATCGTGAAGATTCCTCTATGTCGGTCTGGTATGATTATTCTGAGAATGGTGAGGTTTGATGAAGTTCGACTTCGGATACTTGATGCTATATCTTGAGTCTCCGTTGAGTGAGCCTCCATTGCGAAGAAAGTCGAACACTGCAAAGCCTTTCTCCTGGGTAGGTTCGCTGATCTCTTTGAACAGCCGCTCCTCATGCTCGTCTTGAGGGAAATCTTGGCAGTCTCAGTTGCGAGAGCGCGAGAGGCCAGGATATTATATTTGGCGCTCGAATCGCCGGATCTTCTGCGAACATCGCTCCGCATCTTTCACCTAAAGACCTCCGGGAAAAGAACGGTTCGCTTTCAGGCATCCCTCATATCCCTCGTCTTTATCCCGCGCGTGATGTCTCCCTTTGGTGACGATCGACTTTTTCGACCGCCTCGTCTTGTAGTTCTGAGGAGGGCCATGATATTGAGTACAAACCTTAACCCGACTCCTATAAGGGTCGATCACTGACTTCATTCGCTTGTTTGATTCCGGTTATCCTAGAGTTCCACGTATAACGAACCCTTGATTGCGGAGGAAAGTTCCGCGTATAACGAACCTCCCGTATGACGAACCTTCCGTATAACGTATAGAGTGTATGAGAGCGGTGAAGCTCACCTATATGAGCACCTTGGCGGATTTATCCTCGACTGTGTTCGGTAAAACAATAAATCAAAGTCTTTATTCACTCGTATTGAGTAGTTTCTACCTATCTTAGTAAGTGATTTCATTTTCTCTGTTCATCTGGTCTCTCGGTTTGGAGATCATTGAGTGATTTCACATTCGGTGATTTCATGTTCGGTAAAACGACCACTAAGTCTTCGATATCTAGATTGCAAAGACTGGAAATCAACGATCGTTCCTTATAAGCGAGGTTCTTTGTTCGGAAGGTTCGTTATACGCGGGGTCCGTTATACGGAAGGTTCGTTATACGCGGGGTTCCTTATACATGGGGTTCGTTATACACGGAACTTTAGGTGGTAATGCTCCCCGAGACGACACCCCGTAATGGAATACAGTCAAGTGCCGCTCAGTTGGAGCTCCTATAAGTTGGAAAACTCCTCTAACTTATAATTTAGAGTCGCTTTTCTCATGGTTTGCTAAGTAAAAGCATAGACCCCGTGTTGACTCTCTCCTCTAACTTATAAAACCTCCTCTAACTCATAATTTGGAACGATTTCGCCGCCCTAAGTTGTAAAGCGCGGAAAAATGTCGAGAATCGCAGCCCATGGACCAGGGCATCATTTGTAACGTGAAACAGTTGTACAAAAAAAAGCTGGTCGAACATTACTGGGCCATGGCACAGGACGGTCAAGTGAAGGAAATAAATTTGCTCCAGGGTATCCGGTTCCTGAGAGAGTCATGGGATGATGTCAAAACTTCCACCATATTCAACTGCTTCAAGAAATGCCTCCCGAACGTTCGGAATGCCAGCGCTCAAAGTGAGAACAGCGATGACATAGACGAACCGGATCG